CCTACCGACCCCTCAGCAACTTGGCAACCCAGCACGGGGTTGCATTCATGAATACACGCATCATCACTTGGTTATCGACTGTCCGGCACGCGTATAACGATAACATATCTCTTTCAAGTTTTTAGGGCAAATGTGCGACGAAATCTGATATGTGACATATGTCCAACAAGTGCATACAATTACCGGGATTGGAAACGTATATAATAGAACTGAATAGTGCTTTATTTTCATTTTATTTAAAAAAAAATGCTAGCTCCCAAACTGATGCATACATACCCTACATCCAATTTTTAAGCCCCACAAAACGTTCTTTCTGAAAATAAACACGATACTCCGAAACGTCAAAAAGTCGATATTGATTTTTTCGCCTTTGCCTATAGCTCGAGCTTTGAGCGATTATAATTTTTTTGTGATTAGCTTCTTTCTCCTCCGCCAAGGATTAACGGACATTCGGACAAACAAACCGACGGAAATAGAGTGACATGGTTTTTCGTGATCTAGATGTCATATAACATGCAGACACCATAATATCTCATTTTCAAAAATGTCCGTGATTATTTCTCGCCAGTAGCATACTAAAATCATAAAATTTTATGGGTATACAGTCATAATAATGACCGAAAGAGTGAAATTTGGCTACGTAGCAACGCACATATTAAGTATTTCCAAACGTACTGCCTTTACATAATTATGATCTTAGAATATATTGGACGAATTCTATCAAAATATGAACACTAATTATATCTCATATTTCCAAGCATTAAGATTTGAGATAAATATGACAAAGAATAGAAGGACTCAACGCAGTTAACTGTCGTAGGATAGAAAAGTTTTATAACGTGTTTTCGATTGTAAGCAAATTATGAATCTCAGGGATACAACAAACACGTATTGGTATTGAAAGTCTTTGTAATAATATTGTTATGAACTAAATAAATACTATGAATGTCAAGGATAATGACGTGATAAAAGCTATTCAACAAATTATTAGTAACATTTATAATGCTACTAACAGATATATTGGTATATTCTGGAGAATCACAGTTTCTAGCTTGTTGACACACAAGTTGCAAATCTTTCAAAGCAGATATAAATAAAGTGAAAAATTACGTGAGACGTATCTCAAGACGCTCATACAAAAAAGGTAGAGGTTAATTTAATAAGAGACACCTTGTTTGGGCAGTGCCAGTGCAGAATATTTGTTTTACCTAACCTTTCTCAGGTGCAAATCGGGCCACAATTCAACTCAGCAGGTACGCAGTCGTCGAAAGTTATGTATGAACCAGCCCTGGGATCTTACTCTATATTGGGCCAAATCCAACTTTGTCGGTGTATGTACGATTGGCGGATTTTCCGCTTGTGTTCAAGAGATTTTAGTAGCTCGACGTGCATGTGAAAATAAAACTTCGCTTTCGAATAGATATGAGAGGCAATTAACACCAACGAAAACACAATGCTAACGTATCACAATGAAGAACAATAGTGTTACTTTCATGGCAGGTAATAAAACATTTTTAATATTTCAGTTGTTCTCGGTCTTGATTTCGCCTTCAACGATTATCTTGAGATGATTTAAAATCGTCCGAACAACTAAGCTTTACCTGATGTGTATTATTCATAATTAGATTGATATTCAACATCTACAGAAGAGAGTCCTGTAGATTATTATTATTATTATCATTATTATTATTATTATAAATAATACAGGAGCAAACGCTATAAACCCCAAACAAAGATAAGAAATTGAAAATAAATAAAATATAAAGATAATGTCATAAGAAAACTAGAGTTCATCGTTCACCCATCTGTTGAAACGATTCTTGAACTGTGGACGCATTAACAACGTCGTGGGGGCACCCTGTTCCAGGTTAAACAGACTGATGTAGGTCTTTACCAAGCATTCATATTTATAATTGCACCTTCATCACACATACAAACAAAAAATGTATCCAGAACAAAAACATCAACTCGCATTACAATACGAGGACAGGTGAGAGTCTAAATATTCCAAAACACACACTGACATTGAAAAGTCACCACAATACACCTTCATTAGGATATAATTATAACAAACTTCCAGCTAACCTCAGGAATGGAAAATTAGTAGTATTGCTAGTTTTAAACGTTAACTACGTAAATTTTAGTCTGAAAAATGTTTCTACTCTTTGTCTGAATACCTCGCACCGAGATATTATAATATAATTTTTTACACCTTTTTTTTAAATGTGAACGTCTGTAGGACTTGCTGTTCTGTAAATAATTTAAAGCTGTTCCTGTTTGTACTGTACTTTTAAATACTTATGTCATCTCGTTTTTATGATTTACAAGACAATAAATGCATCTATATCTCCATTTCAAAGTGAGCCAAAGGTAATGTCGCTGTGCACGGGCAATGGAAATTGACTGATAGATGTTGACCGACAATTTAATTATTCGTTACAGTTACATGCTAAACACCTCTTCCAACTAAGATTTGGTGCATGACTTTTGAAGATAAAGCGCCCGACTCACTACTTAAACTTCGTAATGTAATATACTACTTCCCATTTAATGAATAGCACTAGCGCTTATACAGGTTGTGTCAAATATACTGAACTATGTTGATATCCGCGTATGGGAACGCTATCGGAAGAGTTTGTTTTTGTAATATCATATGCGTACCAGTCATCGTCATGTTAAAAGCGAAAGCAGGAAGTTTGGAACTGGGACGTGTGTACCTGTCCCATGTTTTCAAAACGGTCTGTGTGTATGTTTATGCCGGGGGGCAACGGACGTTTACGAAATTTTTCGTGGGTGGGCTTGATCGAGAAACTACATTGAATGCAAGCAACTCTACGAGCGATCATTAATGTTAATTATAGGTCATGTGAAATGTGCAGTATATACAGTGTTGCCGATAATTAATTATGCGCATAATATCATTCGAAACATTTGTAAAGTTGACATACCTAAACTCTAAATCTCTACTATTGATCATGACTTGTTAGTGCAGTTCGTGGGACCTCTTTCTTTAAGTTAATCTGTTAGAAATAAACAGAATTCAAGTGTCACCTATTGCCAGAATTAACCCATCAGATGCAGTGTGAGCAGCAAAAAACTGCAATGTCCCCCATTAGTAGGTAAGGTTAAAACACAAATAAATCTGATGTAAGCTCACGGTATGAAAAATAAAGGTAACGATTTGCTACATCAAGCGCCTCTTTAATGACTGCCATTATGTTAATCTTTATGATGCAACTAACAAAACGGATTTGTTTATCTGTTCTTTTTTTGGTCATACAAGTTCACTACAATATTCTGGTCCATCAAAATATATCTTTACCTTGAATTCGAATTTGGAAGATCTCTCAGATAATCGATTATGAAACCCACCCAACATATAACTGATCTTGAACCACAAATTCTCGTATACATAAAAAGAATTCAAAACTTCTGTTTGTTTTAATTACGCCTATATGTTATGTCGACTGATATGATTGTCTTGTATGTTCTGATGTTGCCTAACCAAGAACTGTTTGTACTTTAGAATTAGAATTCAAGGACGTGCACGAAATATCAAGTCCAGGCACATTCTATATCTGCGAATAATTATCAAATAAATATTTTATTGAAGTAAAGTTTCTTAATGTACTTACTGAAGCATACCATTGAACGAAGACTCACCTATAAAAAGAAAGTTTATTAGTACAATTAAATAAACCGTAGCAGGAAGTGCTACACAAAAAAGGTTAATGACTTCCCAGACATCACTGTATTTTACAGCATTTCACCACATATGCACTGTTACGAAAGAAGGTGATTTCAAAAAAAAAATGTAACAAAAGTCCTACAGAAATTAAGTTATAAACCTGAGTTTCAATAATAAATTGAATAATAAATATCTGCGTTTTGCGTTCATCGTCGTGACATCGTTGTACCAAACAACTGACGAAAACAAAATACCAGGAATTTTATGTTTTTTCATACTGATAAGAACGTGTACGAGGGATGTCTTTTAAGTTTTGCATATAGAAAGATAGTAGGTCGCGCGGATTGAACGTCAGTACTGAATCTTAACCTCACTCTTTAGTAAACTTAAATTAGGAAAATGGAACTCAACCGAGAACATTTTCGCGCCATAATTTATTACAACTTTCAGAGACAATTATCGAGACAAGAATGCCTTGCTGAGTTACTGTCTGTTTTCGGCAACGAAGCGCCACATCAGTCGACAATTTCCCGTTGATATGGAGAACTCAAACGTGGACGGGTGAGTCTTAGCGACGATCCCAGGGTGGGTGCACCAAAAACGGCAGCCACCCAGGAAAACGTCGATGCTGTGGGCAAACTCATCATTGAATATAAACATGCGACATATCGCGAGATTGAGACGTCCTTGAAGATCTCAAAGACCTCAATTCAAAAAATTTAACATGAAGAATTAGGAGTAAGGAAATTAGTTTCTCGTTGGATACCCCTCCTGTTGACTGAAGAGTAGAAAGCAGCCAGGGTTAATTGGTGTCAAAAAACGCTTGACCGCTTCAATTCCGGAAACTCAGAAAATGTGTACAGCATTGTTAGTGGTGATGAATCGTGGATTTACTGTTATGAACCAGAAAATAAACGACAGTCGGCTGTTTGGGTGTTCCAAGGTGAAGAAAAGCCAACAAAAGTCATCCGTTCTCGAAGTGTTTCGAAAAAGATGGTCGCGACATTTGTGTCAAAAGCGGATCATAACGCAGCAATTCCTCTTAATGAGCAAAGAACTGTTACTGCGGATTGGTATACCACCATTTGTTTACCAAAAGTCATCATCGAGCTTCTAAAAATCAACCCCGAAAGAAGAATCATTCTCCACCAAGACAATGCAAGCTCGCACACAGCCCAAAAAAACAAGGCAGTATTTAACGGAACAAAACGTGGAATTATTGGACCATCCTCCATATAGTCCCGATCTAAGTCCTAACGATTTCTTTTCTTTCCCGAAAATTAAAAACAGACTGCGTGGTCAAAGGTTCCAGTCACCAGAAGAAGCAGTTGACGCATTCAAAAATGCCGTTTTGGATCTGCCAGCAAACGAGTGGAATAAGTGCTTCGAAAATTGGTTCGAGCGCATGCAGATGTGTATTAATCTTCGCGGAGAATACTTCGAAAAACAATAAAGTCATTTAAAACTACCTGCCGTGTTGTGTTATTTCCATATGCAAAACACATCCCTCGTAAATAGGGTTGAATCTGTATCGTGGGTGAATTGAATGAAGAGCGGTCGATTTTTGTGAAGTTAAATAAGGAAGTACTTGGCGAGTTTACGGTCTTAGTTATTTATTAATAAAAATGGCACATGTGTACACTAATGAGGAGTTAATGAACATTGTTTTAGCGTACGGAGAATCAGGGCAAAATTTGCGAGCGACTTCTCGTTTGTATGCACACCGATTTCCGAATAGGCACATACCACATCACGAAACATTTAGTTCAATTGTTTTACGTGCACGTAATAGTGAAGATTTGCGCCCTAGACGTGGAGTGGATGGGGGTGGGGTTCGTCCACAACACGTTTTAAATGCCGAAGACGAAATTTTTTTATTATCTCGATTTCTGTAGAACTTTTATTACATTTCTTTTTGAGAAACCTATTTCTTTCGTAACAGTGCATATGTGGTTAAATTTTGTCGGATAAGTTGTGAAACACCCTATAATATTGAATACGTAATTAATAACATCGGCGGTGGATACATCGTAAAAACTGAGAGGTTTGAGATAAGTAAGATATAAGGTTCCGAAAAAATCTGCTATATCTAAGCCGACCATGCCTCCCTATTACGTTAAAGTGAAAACGTACGACGCATGCCAGTCCGTAGCACTTGTAGGTAAATCGAGCTGTTTCCGTACAAATCGAATTCGAGAGTGGATTATAAAAAACAGTAAATTGCACACTTCAATATTATTAATAACAATATGCTGTTAGCTTAGTGTTTTCAAGATGCTACAGAGGTTTAGCGGGTCTATTCAGATCGGATTCCGCAATGTTTCTATACTGCTACGCGTATGTTCGTTTATCTCGTACAAAGAGCTAGGGACAGCTTTGTCACTGATCTACAGAAACGTGCATATCTAAAAATGTCAGCACAGTAGTTTCGATTTGAATCGTTTAATGTTTGAAAGCTGAGGATTCAGTAGAATAACAAAAAATTACGAACCTTATTGGCCCTTAAATATCTCAAAAATACAGTGCTGCTTTAATTCACTGACATCATGACCACCCTCAACGGCTTTATGGCCTCAAACATCAACATTAAGCATCGGACATAAAAAATTATGGTAAGCACTGGTCAATCAATTACTTTATCAGGAAACTGCTGCTGGGGCCGAGAGCAAGAACTCTTGCACAACTATTCATGATGAACATTAAAATTCATCCATCAATCTACGTTGTGCAGTAACCATGCCATAAACGTATGAAAAATATTATGCATTTGTAAATCTGAACAAAATCGCCGCAGTGCTTATTTCATAACCCAACGAGTTGAAGCAAAAACTAACGTCCGAATGAAATATATTAAAACAGGGAAACGGCTTTAGAAGACAGGTAAAAAAAGCATGACAGGTTGAATGATCTATGGTGCTTAGTTATCGAGGTCTGGCGTTGACGAATATGTTGGTACACTTATTTTTATATACAGCTGATACAAATTTAACGTTTCCTCAGGACCGACCACAAATGACAACTTTTTTGTTCTAGAACGACACATAGAAAAACTACTCACTAGTGCTTGTTGTCCGACCGACGATGAAACGCTTCCATGTTGCCAAAATGAAAGATGTCATCATAATATATGATGTGACATGCATGGATTTAATGGTGAGAATCAATCTTGGAAGGAAGCTTAAATGAGCCCTTTTAACTAACTAAAAAATGATACTTCAGTTTCGCAACTCAAAGAATGCTTGAAAATATGCGAAAAAAACGAAATCTTCCAATAATCGCTTTTATTTTTCCCTGAATTTGTTTGGGAGGCTATTTTACAAGAAGCTGCAGATTAACCTTGTCACTTCTTCTCTTCTACAAGATGGCATAATCATAATTTCATTATGACATTTCGTCTCTTGACTTAACCCTAACGTTTTTTTTATGGACGCGATATTGGATTTTTGCACAGGTGAGTTGTTTTAAATTCTGATTGCAAAAATGTACAATATGTGATAAATTAGTTTTATAAAACTATATTTATTAACAAAAAACAGAATTTCATGAGTATGCCTTGAAATTATTGTTGTTTGTTTCATAATATCACCCAAGCGTATTCCGAGCTTTCATACCACTGTATTAAAGGGTATTGATGAAAACATTGAAAAAGGTGTAAAGTCATGAAAAATTAAAAATGATTTTGGAAAAATTCGGTTTTTTCGTCTGTCTCCGGAAATACTCTGAACTGCGTCTGTCTCTAAGCGCCGTTTTCTTAGATACCTGAGAACGCACCTCCATAAAATTGGCTTCCGATCTCTTTTCATTTCTACGATCCCAATAATAGTATATGATAATTAGAAATATAAAACTTATTTGTTATCAAACTACAACTCAAAGCAGGTAACACAAATAAGTATGAAATCCCCACATAAGCATAACATAGTCTACCCATTATTAAGTTTATATCGGAATCATTGCCGCTCTATATGTAATATACTCGTAATGGACTTAATCGAGTGTGATCGACTAGCAATATCCTCTAAGGAGCATAGACATTCGGGTCTACATCAGTCTTGGTTTAAATGTAGTGTATGTCACAGCCAGGTGGTTAGTATCTATTATATGTCATATGTCGTAGCCAGGCAGTTTGACTGTATCAGTGAACGTCAACGTCGGGTGGTATGTGTCTATTTATTAATTTTAAATTTATATGATTGAATTACGATCTGATAATACGTTGACTTCACATTGCGCAAATCTTCATTGTAGAAACGACCTTTCTTTTTGACGCACTCCGTTTTGACATTCTTATACATATGTTGTATGTAGTCAATAGTTTGATATCTCTCGGCAGTTGTTGATGCAGTTTTGGTGCTAATATGAGAATATTGCTCAGTCACTTTATTTATATTTGCTGTTTACTGATTTTCTAATTGTCTGTACTTAGTAGATTTTTTTATACCTGAACCACCAGGAAAGCCTAAGACTTGAGCATCCATGGGTACCGGGGGGTTAAGGGGAAAAGAGGAGAAAGGGGGGACGTTCACGGACTCTAGCGATGCAACATGCACACATTCTGGCCCCGCATTAGAGATCCGCCGGGTGGTGTCTCCACGTTCGAATGTCAGAAACCGTCTACCACCTACGGACAATCACAACATCTATAGACAAGAGAAAAATTCTTCTTGTTAATCCGATCTTTGAGTTGCCTGAGGCTAGCAGAACTGGTAAAAACCTCCCCAGGTAGTCTGTTCCACAATCTCGACACCCTAGGAGCAAAGGAGCCGTGGTAGCGGTCAGTTCTGGATGTACAAGTTCGTTGCGGTTAGGATGGCAAGAAGAAGCCTCGCGGGAAGATGCCACAGGCTCAAAAAGCAGCGTGATATATATTTTGTATTAAGCATCCTCAATAAAAGACTTTTGCTATACAGTTGTTTAGGATGAAGGACATCACTTTCTTCATACAAGGCTTCTGAGGGATAGGTATAATTTTTGTTATAAATTCTTCTTAAAAGTCTCTTTTGTAATATGTCAACACGTTTAAAATAGTTTTTTACTACACCACACAAGCGATAATACCATGCTACTACTACCAATGAATGGTGGAGTCGAATCTGAAACACCGTATTGTAGAATATTCCAGAAATAACTCCTATCTTGCATTCCTGGCGCTGCCGTATATTTTCCAGCGATCTATATTCCACAATAGCTTATTCAGGAGAATTTCCTCTCGGCTTGTGCACTATTCGCGTCTTCTGCACTAACCTACAAAGATACGCGCAGTCGCCAGACAGGCTCTCCATAGAACGTTTACCCCTTTTTCTTTCTGCACCAAATACCAGATTGCATGGAGGTTATATATAGCCTTATACAGGGCGAATAAAGTATTTCTGGAATATTTATTGGGATATATGTATTTATTATCAGTATTACATTGTTTTATTTATGTAATGGACCTTGTGCTACGCACCTAAACACTATCTTCATTTTATTGCCAATTTTTTTCTCTTCAATGAGTCTGCATTTTGTTATTTTACCAGTATTGGCCTACCGGCAGTACTGTTCTTGCCTTACGCAAATTCTGCTTTAAATTGGAAACACAACTATTCTTTAGATTGTTATTTATTTATTGAAACACATAATAGGCTGGAACACGAAATCCTTGTCTTTGCTTTCACATGCGTGTTTTTGTCAAATTTTACAACCACAATTTTACAAAACTGTCGTAATTTTGATGCAGCGTTAGATTTCCTCATTCAATGCACAAATGTGGTTTCAACAAAATGGTCACATGCGATACAACGCATGAAAGTATTTCACCAGACGTTGCATTGTCGTTTTGACGGTAAAAACTTTCCCCCTGGATCATGCGATTTAACACCATTGTATTTCTTCTTATGGGGCAATTCAAGGTAAAGTCTATGCCAACCTGCCTGCAGATGCTTTTGTATTGCAAGAGAACATTCAACGCTGCCTTGAAAATCGGTAACATTTATGGGTCATAGTTTTGAAGAGTGCGTATGTCAGCAAACCCGAGGGGGGACTGCGTTTTCTCCATTTAATTCAAATCTTGCGAAACTTTGGGGACACCTTTATGAGTCTCTAGTTTTACAATGTTGACAGCTTTTTTGACATTTTTTCACCGTGGGTAGCTTACCAAAGGACTGTGCTATACCGTGCAAGCTACGAGATGGCGCAACATTAGTTCATTTACACAGTGGTCTGTGCGCTATACAAGGGCTTAGAGGAGCGTTAGTGATCACAGTATAAACATGATCATTGGTGTTGCGTTGAAGGTTTAGCTTAACGGCCGACATCCCTGCTCCTTAGAAACTAAAGGGTTGTCCAATAGGGACGCAGGAAAGTAAACGTCAATTT